TATCAATCATTAATATGCTAAACTTTAAATTCCTACAGAATTTGGAAAAAAAATTAAAAATTGGTAAAAAATTAGAAATAAACAACTTTAAACTTTTACACAGAAATTTAGAAATTAACCATATACAACATTGTATCAGGACATTCCTATGACATTTGTTTCTTGTCTGTTTTCATTTATTACCTTTTTTTAATTTTTATTTTTAGAAAAATATGGAATGTTTCACGAATTTGCATGTCATCCTTGGACAGAGGCCATGCTAATCTTCTCTTTATACTCCAATTTTTAGTATATGTGCTGCCAAAATGAGCACAGTTCTTTGCATATTCTGAACTCAAGTTCTTTGCTGGATATATATAGAAAGTGTTTTCTTCTACTCAGTACCTTGTTGATACCTTTTACTTTTAGAGATGTTTTTCCATAAGTATTTATCCATTGTTTATTTGGGTTTTTGTGTGAACCTGTTTTCTTTCTTTTGGGTTAATACTTAAGATTGTGATAGCCTAGTCATAGACATTTTCCATTGTTTCCACCTTGTTTTCTATCCTGGAAGCTTTTTTTTTTTTAGTACCAGGTATTGAACTCAGGACCTTGCACTTGCCAGGCAAGTGCTTATTCTACTGAGCTATCTCCCTGACCCTATCCTGGAGGCTTCTGATTACCTTTCTTTTACCAGCCAGTTTGTCATTTATTTTTATACCATAGAGTGTTAACAATGCATTTACATTTGTTTTAACATACCAGTTACTTAATGAGGTTCTTGGTAAGAAATTTAGAAAACTAATTTATGAGGATAAATTCCATTTTTCAGAGCAAAAACTGATCTCAGGTAGCCCAGGAGCTGAGGAACAGCATTGATTTTTGATAAAATCTGTGAGTCTACTGTTTTCTGATCCACCTTGGGCTGCTCTGAAATCTTGTATCTCTTCTCTGTGTTGGTGATCTCACCATCCTGGTGTCTGGATTTCCACAGCTGCTGCTTCTTGAAGTAAGCATAAATGAGGTGTTTGGGGATTTTCACTTTGCTGATACCAGTTTTTGTGGAGGTGGCATTGACAAATTTCTGGTGTGTTCTCTGTAGAGGAACTCGATTAAGGGTAAGAGTCCCAGTCACAGGTAGCAAGCCACTGGCCATCTGCTTCAGAAAGACCAGTCTCTTGCCTCTGTGATACTGAGTGAGGATGATCAAGATGGTCATCCAGGAGTGATGCTAGCCCAAAGTTTCATCACATGCTGACTGAAAGGTTTCTTGCTGTAGCTCAGTAGCTTTTGGGGTACATCAGTGGGGTAGTATCTAGGAATTTTTCAAAGCTTAACTACCCATGTACCACCTTTCTTGTCACCACTGACTGGTTTTTGTGATAGTAGCAAGAACCTTCTTTTTCTTTTCAACCTTCGATTTAGCAGCTGTGTACTTTCTGTTGTGCAAAGCTTTTCTGGAATACATAGCCGATAGGTAGTATCTACCAATTCCTCTAACTAGGACAGGATTTTGGCTGCAGTGGGGCTGCCCCTTCTTGGACCTTTTTGCCTTCACCTCACCCCTTTTATCAGTGCCACTGGCAGCAGCCTTCTTGGCTTTGAGTTTCTTGTTTTATCTGGCTTCTCAGTTTTTTCACCCACCATCTTTCGAGATGAGAAAGAAACTCACATTTACATTGTGAAGAGGTTATAAAACAAAGGAGAACATGCTAGAGAAACTGTATATGTCCTGCAAAGGCTAAATTATTTACTTGATAGTGCTTTATTAAAAGTTTGCTCCCTAATCTAGCATAATGCCTCCATTACAGATGAGCTACTATTTAAGGAGATTAAATATAACAGTTATAAGTCTCCCATTCTGGCAATTCATTCTTCTCTGTCACAAGTATAGGGGCTGGTGAGATAGCTCAGTAGAATAAGCACTTGTCTGGTCAAGCACAAGGTCCTAAATTCAATCCCGGTACCACAAAAAAAAAAAGTATATAAGGAATATGTAACAGACACTGTACCCAGTTTGAGGATTTTAATTTTTGAAAGAGATTCTGTAATAAACTTTATACATTATTTAAAGATTAAATAGCTGAGCATAGTGATGCATGCTCAGTACTTTGGAGGCTGAGGCAGGAGGATTGCTGAGTTTTAGGCCAGCCTGGGTTACATAGAGTTGAAGGTGAGCCTGAATGACATAGCAAGACCCTGTCTCCAAAAAATTAATAGGACTTAAAGATGCTGAGTAACTGAGATGATGAGAACAGCATATTGAAATTTATCTGGAAGATTCATAGCATTTGGCAGCACATTGACTCAAACCTATATCTGTTTGGCCCGAAACTTTCTCAGCTGAGAAACAGATTACTGATAGCCATCTTAGAGGACTGTTGCTAAGGAAAAAGAAGGCAAGATATCAAAACAAAAACACTTGCAACATATCTGACATATGGACTTTGGAAGTATATAACTACTGTGATTATTTTAATTACTTTGAAATGAAAATGCTCTGTTTCTAGACTCCTATGGTGACCCTTTCTGGCCACACGGAAGCAGTTTCCTCAGTACTGTGGTCAGATGCTGAGGAAATCTGCAGTTCATCATGGGACCATACAATCAGAGTGTGGGATGTTGAATCTGGCAGTCTTAAGTCAACTCTGGTAAGATGTAACTTTCAGTGGTCCTGTTAACTTTGGTCTTTTAAGTGATAAACTTCTAAAAATGACTGTTCTTAGCATTCTGTGGTTAAATGTTATTTCCTTTTCTTTTTCAGACAGGTAATAAAGTGTTTAATTGTATTTCCTATTCTCCACTCTGTAAACGTTTAGCATCTGGCAGCACAGATCGGCATATCAGACTGTGGGATCCCCGAACTAAAGGTGAGTTGTATAATCCACTGAGGGGTGTAAAATTTTTTTCTATAATATACTTTTTAGGTTTGCTCTGCTTTTCTAAAGTTTACAACATCTTTTTTGCTTTGTTCAGATGGTTCTTTGGTGTCGCTGTCCCTAACCTCACATACAGGTTGGGTTACATCAGTAAAGTGGTCCCCAACACATGAACAACAGCTGATTTCAGGCTCTTTAGATAACATTGTGAAGCTGTGGGATACAAGAAGGTAAATTCTAATTATACTGTATAAAACAAAGACATTAATCAGTGTTGTATACTGAGAATACTGAAATGATTATTCAACTCGGGTAAAAAAAGTCTGATTATACTTGATAAATATGGTTATTCACAAAAAAACAGGATCAGGGCTAAGGAGATAGCTCAGCAGCACAGCATAAATTCCTGCCTGGCAACCCAAGGTTTCCAGTTTAATCCCCAGTACTGAAAAACAAACAAACAAACAAAAAAACACCAAAAAGGCAGTATTAAAGGATACTGTTGTTTTAGCATCCTGAAAAACCCTAATTCTATGTGTCTTAGTTACTTTTCTCCCATTATTGGGACAAAATACCCAACCCCTAAAAATAGGGAAGGAAAGGTTTATTTAGCTTACAGTTGGTGGAGGTTTCAGTCCATAGGCTGGTTCCAAGGCAGAGTGCCACATGGCAGAGGGTAGCAGTTCGTGGCAAAGGAAAAATCAAAGACTGAAGGCAAAAGGGAGAAGAAGCAGTAGCAGTGGCAGAGGCAAGTCTTTCCCCTTTCTTTGTATTGCCTTCAGGCTGTCTGCCCCAGGGTGGGTGTAGCACTTACACCCTTAACCCCAGCAATACTCAGACTCATAACCCCAGCCTTGGATCATGAATTAATCACAAACTGTATAACCATGCCCCAGTGACTATATGAGGCTTTGTGGGGACACCTAGATACAAACTATAATACCATGTTATGTTATCTTTTATGAAAAGAAAAATGTTAAAAGCCTATGCTTATGCTTGCTTCGGCAGCACATATACTAAAATTGGAACGATACAGAGAAGATTAGCATGGCCCATGCACAAGGATGACACGGAAATTCATGAAGCGTTCCTTATTTTTAAATGTGGTTTCATGTTTTAAAAACCCCCTGCTTCCTGGTCTAGCTAGCTGCCTTTCGGTCCTCTCCTGCGTGAGTGCTGATCGGGGGCCCTGAGCTCAGTAATAAATGGCTTTCCAAATTC